TGTATCCATTGCCTTGAGTTCGATGGCTCTCCCTGACCGGACAAGATCTGGGCTGAATCGAATTAACCCGTCTTCCGAGATTCCGAATGATGGCTCCACCAAATGAATGACAGTCCCACAGAATGCCATAGGCTCTGATGATACAGTGTCTCTGGAGCTGAACTCAACCGTTCGAAAAACTGCGAGACGTCCATCGGCATCGAACTTGGATCAGGATCTTCACTACTTGGCATGTGTACATCTTTGGGATTTGGAGGTTCGCTTGGAGTGTACTCTTCATATAATCTCCTGACTCAAGCAATCGATCGTCTCCCGGCGTCGGCGCATCTAGACTCACAGGAGCGGGCACCCTGTCACCTGACACGTCGACCGGCGGCTGTTTTCCAGTGAATCGAACTCGACCGGTCGGATGAACACTTTCTGATGAATCGGATCCCTTCGACTTGTGAGGTTCATGAGCAACACCTTCACTGCGATCAGAAACTTTGGGAACACTCTCAGCCATTGCCTCTCTTTGTGATTGGACCCAGTCCCTATATCGTCGGCAGCATCCAGCACTGTGTTTCTTTCCGTGTCTAGATGAAGAGTTGCAAGCACCACACTGAGGCGTCGGACCGTGATCCCTGACCCACTCCCGAGGCGGACCGTTCAACGGTAACGGCTCAGCGACACCGACCTGATCGTCCAATGGCGCTGCCGGCTTCGAATCCAGCGCTGGTGCATCGGTCGTCTCAACTCCTTTCAACAGGCTCGGGGCTAGATCGACGTCCCAAAGGATCTGATTGAGGGGCTTCACTTCCGGAAGATGTGATCTCGTCCATTGATTCTACTTGATACAACGTGGGCCAATGAGTTGGGTTTCACATGAAGGTATGCTGCTGGAATAAAGCGAGTCTTCTCGGGAACCGAATCGATCAACGAATCGGGAACTTGAGCGTGGCATACACTTCCGAACAATGTCGAAACTGGTTTTGGTCGGTCTTGGTTCAAGATAATAAGCTCGATCGGCGTTCGACGGCTTTCGAGTCCAGCTGATTGTCCAACAGATCCTCCAACCCCAAAGCGGTTGCGTGTTTGGGAGACGTACTGCGTGATCTTGTTGAAACTCTCGGACTTCCCGACAAATCAAACCCGCGAAGGCGCATATCCGACCTGATACAGGAAGTCATTTCCTTCACTCTCCTCACGTCCTCTCGGCAAAGCCAATGGATTCGGAAGTCCCAACCGTTTCATCATGCTCCCAATCAAATCAACGGTTCGCTATCCGTCAACACTTCAACTCTCAACGAGGTGTTCTCCGAAACTCCGAGCTGGTGAAAGTACTGACGACACTCCGAAATCGTTTGGTCTTGATTGGCACCACACAAACTCACTCCCAACAATCCAGTTCCAGCATCCACCAAAATCACGAATTTGTTGCCCTCAATGAAGAAGAAGTCAGCTTGGATCAACAACATTCGGTGGTCAACAGGTGTGGAACTCGAATTGCTTATTGTACACGGCCATGTCTTAATGTGGATCTACTTTTCGCGCAATGAGTACAGCAGCTGTCAAAAGGAATGTGGCCTTTTCGTCGGCGCATGGGCAACTCTTGATCTACCTTCTTCGAATGGCTCTTTGGGCATCGATGATGCATCTCCATCCAAATCGATCTCAGAGAACGGTGGCAGTGGCTGTTCGGCAGCGTGCAAAAATCCCTCATGTCGATACGTGGTGTGACGATTGGGCTCATTTAGACTGGATTTCGGTTCGATCTCATAGGTTTTGATCTGTGGTTGATCATCGAACTTCAACATTTTCACATGATGGGACGAACCACTTCTGTCCAATGACCCCTTTGCCATGGTGTCTGATTGGACTTTTCGGACACATTCAGGAATGGATTTGGCGCTATGGTGGAATTGGCCAATTGCGATCGAAAGAACAAAAGTTCCGTACGAGTCTTAATCGAAAATTCCCTGGCCAACAATCTAAGGCACTCAAATCCGCAGCAACGGTCGAATCCTTTCACTTCCTCGTAGTTCCGGATCACCAAAGTCGCCTTAGGATGGTGCTCGAAGCACATTTTCAAGATGGAAAGAAGTCTCACAGATCGTGTGATCGGGTTGGCACTGAGTCGACGCCATCCTAACGGCTCTCGTTCTTTGACACACGAAAGGATTTCAGCAGAGTATGCGTTGGATTTTAAACCAGTCCAACTTGCCAGACTGGGTCTAGTTTTCCAGTCTTGGTGATTGGGGGTTGGGATCGGTGGCATCCACTTCTCCGATCGTTTGAACGGATTCTGGTCATTGTCAACATGTGCTGTGGAGCCATGTGCTGCGCAGCCAACCCTGGAGGGGGTGGCATGGTTTGACCTGCACCTGGACCTGCAAACAATGGATTGCTCTGGTCTGGACTTGCTGGCATGCTTGATGGGAATGGCCTATCAGGGATTCCTGCAGCCTGAGCTGAGCTTTGATAGAAGTTGCTCCACGGGTCATTCCCTTGCAATGGGTCGAACGGCATCGATCCGGACTGCGCACTCTGACTTGGACGTTGCTGCATGGGCGTACTCGGAATATCTACTTCGGGATGTGTCGCCTGACTAGGCTGCGCGAATCGGCTTTCCGTGGCATGTGGAAATGGGGGTACTACATTTGGGACGACGGTCGGAGGCGACGCTGCGACTGGCGGATTCGGTGCTACCGGCATTTGGGATGGATTCGAACTGGCGGCACCGGACCCACTCTGAACTTGGAGTACCTGTTGAAGCAAAGGACCCAAACTACTCAACGTGTTGGTCAAATGGGCAACTTGCTCTTCCAGATTTGCATTCTTCTCTGACTAGCACTCCCTCCCGACCGAGGATCTCGAGGTTGAGCTCTAGCCTCGGATCGTCCTCTGGATCGTTCTCGAGCTCGTCCAGATCTCGCATCATCTCCAGCGTTCGACATGGCAATCTCTACGGATGTTAAACCAAGTGAACACGTGAAAACAGTTGAGACCTACGCTCCTTTACAGGAGCTTCGCTACCATATGAAAATTCACGTGAGTTCAATCCCAAAAGTAAAGCCTAAGTTGAAAAACTTGGTACACTTCTTGGTTTGTGGTTGTTCGAACTCTTCGACACGATTCGAGCGTCCTCCCACTCCCACGCGCCACCGGTGCGACTTTTTCGCACTTGAGCCACAGTTCGTGGCGAACGGATGTCCTGCGAACACCTGTGGCCAAAAACAGTGGCCTTGCTTGCACGGCCACTGCAACCGATGGTGTTTCCTCGAACTCGATTTGTGCGTGTCATCCGCACTGCAAAAACACGTCCAAGCGTCCACGTGCAATGCAATGGTTTGGGCGGTCTTAAGGGAGCTAAACGGGTTTCTATCTTTTCACGCCACAACCACCACCAGCAGCACCACCACGACCACCACAACAACAACCACAAGAACAACCACAACAACAACCACCAACCACCCCAAGCAACGCCTCGCACTCTGCATCTCACCACCATGTCCTGTAATCACGCTTACTAGGGACACACTTTGCAAGCGCTTTGCTTCGTTGTGCTTCGTTGGCCTGCTGGCCCGCTGTTGGGCGTCAGCCCCTTAAATAAGCTAAGTAACTAAGTAAGCTTCTAACCAAAGGTGTTTTAATTGTTTCTTATCTTTTGTTCTTCTTTTAGCCTGTGGCCCTAAGTTACCATCTACTGGACGCAGGAGAGCTCACGCTTCTTCAAGGAAGCATCTTTTTCTGCTCAGAATGGAGGGAAGCTTCCTTGAAGAAGCGCTTGCACTATTCATGTGGTTCACTTCGGGCCTGCGTGAGCCATCCTTTCCGGAAGCATCAGAGTCCAGGGACAGCGACACCTCACATACGGTCACAAGTCACAAACTGAGAGACTTCGAGTGAAGGTGCTTGGGAGCCAGGCACGTTCGCCGACCTCATAGCAGGAGCACGGACGCTACTAGGAGCAAAAGGCATCGCTACTAGGAGCAAGGACGCTACTAGCAGCAAAGGGCACCGCTACTAGTAACAAGAAGCTATTAGAAACAAGAAATAAATCAAACAACGTGCTTGGGAGCCAGGTTTTTGAACAACTTGATGAAACACCAATCTGTCAGGCTTAGGTCTCTGCTGGAATCGACCACTTGTCGGCCACCACCTTGTACAAACATCCACCACTTCTTTATGTCATAGCAAAGAATCCACCACTACCAAAGCGGAACGATGAACTAGGGTCAAAACTCCTGGGAATGCTTGGGCCTGCACTCAGCTCTCTTAAATTGTTTCGCAGACGTCATTCCACTTCTCATCAGTTGCAAGAAGAAAGAACAAGAAGCCTCGGACGTAGTGTCCCTTGGACTAAGACGTCTGAGTTGGCAACTTGAAGCACCATGGAGAAGAACAAAAGAAATGGGACGGCCTCAGATTTGAGAAGCCAGAAATAACCAGCTTAGGCTGTCGCCTCATTTTCCTTACTGTTACAAATATTATCCAGGTCCAGAGTACATCGATGAATCCCTCGGCAAGGACGTTAAAGCCACTTCACTTGCTCTCAAAATATCAGGGGCCCAAAGCAATAACTACATAAAACTTGAATATAATGGCAAGCAAAAACTGTGACCAAACTCAGGTTTCAGAACTAACATGAGTTACCTTTTTGAAAATCGATACAAACATTAATAGAACACACGCTCTGTTTCCATCATCTTGCTTGATCCACGACGAGCAAGTTACACTGTACACTCCGAATCTGCTCCATTAACTTTTTTGGAGCACATCGGTGACATAAACACAACTTGTAACTTGCTATCCGATGTGCTGTCTGGATCAACACCAGCGAGCGTTTGTGCTGGTCAAGAGCTTCCGATCCAACCTCAGAAAAATGGACAAAGAAACGGTTAGACAGCTCGATTCTTGTTTCACATGCCAATCGCTGACACCAAAGAATGATTCGACCAAATGGATGCTGGACAAAACAGTCACTCATCGCATCTTTCTGCTTTGGATTTCTGCAATCCTCAGCCACCAACCCATTCGGCCAAGCGTGCATAGTAAAACATATCCACCTGTGTGTTTACTCCCATGTGTTGAATTCCGTCTACGCACTGCAGCCACACAAGTCAAGGCTGGACCGACATGTGTGCACTGGCCATCTCGCAGCTTACTAAGCAGTCACTTGCCACTAGGCGATGAATCACTGAAACCACTTGAGCCAACCAATTCGATGGTCCAAGTATGCAGTACCAGCGCTGCGTCAGGAAAGGCTTGAAACGAAACAATTTTCAATACTGAACCTGCAGATTCCCACCACATCTTGCAATCAAGGCCACCTTTAGCCAACAATGACAACAACCACAAACAAAGCCCATTGCGCATGACTGTCCGACATGTTGGGAGCTCAACAACTGGCGAGTCAGGGTGGCAGAATGTGGCCTAGCAACAACGTATTTTGCAAGACCTCGTGCTCAAAAGGTTTCAAAGTCTCAATGAGGGCAGCCCGGAGAGCGCAATTTACCTCGAGCCACATGAGCTGGCGAAATCAATACATTAGCATCATGGCAGGCAACCTCAACCATGTCAACAACCCAAGAACAAAGGCAGATTAGAAAAAGTTGAGCTAGCTGCACAGTGACCAATACAAAACCAGCAGGAGCAAGGAGCAAGACTGAAATAGGAAGGCAAGCAAGGCCAAAGATCTGGAGTAGGCCGACTGAAGAGACAGATCGGCTAGGGAGAGGTGAAGGCAAGCTTGCTATGGAGCCCACGTTTGCCGACATTCGTTACAAATGGGCAAATCGCGCCACGCACTCTAAAGCCACAACAGGAGAGACCAGCCCTCATAAAAAAGGCATGGCGGTCGATCAGCTTAATCCTGTGCTGCTTTGCACTCACATGTACCAAACAAGCACGTTGGATCAACGAAGCACTTTCAACTCACTCTAAGGTCTTCCATGAAGCTGCACAGCAGGTGGCAAAGAAGCTGGTCAGGCCAACTTGTTGCACAAATGTTATCAGTTCTTCGGTGAGTTGGGAGTGGGCAACTAGCATCTGCCACACTGAAAGCCTAGGCCTAGAATACTCAACGTCTGATTTGGTGTCATCCATTCACGTCCTCCCAAATGAATTCTTGTGAAACAAAGGGAGTTTGTGTGAAACAGCTGCAGTCAAACCAAAGGAAGGTAAGTCAAGTTGATGATGCACAGTTTGAAATTCCTTAACCTATGACTTTTCAAGGTAATGCAAGTGGTGCAACAAAGTGAGGTCAGCATCAACAACATCATTATGGCATCACTGTATCTGCTTCTTCTGTCTCCTCCATCTCCTTTCAATCTCCTCTGTCTCTCGAAAGCAGTGGCAGCACCTGGTCAACCATATCGATAACCACATGCCACAACATGTCCTGAGCACAAATCACAAAGTTCAAATGAAATGCTGCAAACAAGGTCGAATGTCAAATTTGAGAAGCAAACAGGGAAAGCAAACAGGGATGCAGGAATAGCGTGCTCGTACCACCAAATGTTTGCTGCTCACCAAGTTCGCAAAAGTCCAAGGCTCATATTGCATGATGAGATCCACAGTCACGCGCTTTGACAACGATCCAAAAATCGCCTGCATTTCTTGGGGTTTGCAAGGTCTTGAAGGTCTAATCGTGCTCGAATGTTCACAGCTCACAGCTGGCCTTACTTGCACGAAACATGAGCAATGCATAGAACACCGGGGTGATGAGCAAGAGGTTTGCAAGCATCGTCGGACCTGAAAGTATTGCGCAAGTTTACATTGAATCGCCAAAGCGGAAGCAAAGCTAAGAGCATGGCTGAACAAATCCTGAAAATATGAAGCATTGATGCTGAAGTCACTGCCTCGTAGAAACTCCTCTTGTCAAGGCACACACTAGTTGGCATGATGGGATGTTCTGTTTGTAGTTTTTCTTTTGATACCTTGGACGCCCCCAATATCTGCTGTATGTGGTCCTCCGAAACAGATGGAGTGGCACTGGCCAGCCGTGGCATCACGCGGCAAAAAAGCACGACTACCTGACGCATCTGGGTAAATCACGGCAACAGTCACTCAATGAAAGTGACAAGGCCAGGTTCAAGGCACGTTCTTGAAAGATATTTTGCACTGCTCTCATGAAATGCTGTTGTCTTGTTGAATGCCGAGTTCAAGTTACCCACAAAACACCCGAACACCCACGCAATGCTGCACTGACGTCATTCAACAACCTTTAGAAGGCCTTTGCAGCATGCACCCAGCTGTAGCAAAACCACCTGCACACAGGCACACAAGTGAAATAGCTTTCAAGTTAAGGTGAAGCATGGACCATGACAATACAAGCTGCTTTGCAAAATGCTCCCAGTATGGGGCAGGGGCTGCGTTGGGGCTGCACGATATGCACACTCCACTCTCCAGAACCAGGCAAGATGCAGCAACCTCAACCAGGAATTGAGAAGCTGAACCCTCCCAGCTTAGTACGACGTTGGAACTGAATCCAGAAGCTCTGGATTACACTCACGGTGGGGCATGGACAAGGGCACATCCACGGTCAGCGTTAAGAGGACTGTTGGACCTTGCCGCAAGGTGCTTCAACGTAGCTTTCTCTCAGAACCCAGCCAAATGAGTACTGGACAAAATTTCTGGTGATTGGGGATTGTCATGGTCGGCCCTGTGCCCCTCTACATTCTAAGGGACTGACCCAACCATAGATTATGTACAATCTTCACGTGCACATTTCTTGTACAAGCTTTCTTGACGAGTCTGGGTCGTAGACTGAGGTATTGAACAAGGAATACGTTGATAAGAATCACTTGCACCTTGAAAGTTCGGTCTCAAGTTGCGAAAGTTCGGCACTTCCAATCACAGAACTTGTGTTTTTAGTGCACGGACGAGAAAGCAGGCCAAAGATAAACAATGAGCCAGTCCTCTCACAAAATTCGACAAGCGTTCACTTGCAACTCAAGCCATGAAGGATGGGCATGTTCATGCATTTTCTGATATTGCTAGATCCATCCTGCTGGCGACAGCAGGCTCTGACACCTCAAGAGTGCTACAGGAGTGTAAAATGAAGCATGCACTGAAGCGCTTCCCGCCAAAACTTGAAACCGAGTTGATCAAGATCGAACAAAGGAAGGTCATTGACAGGAATCACAATGAGCACTTAAAGTCTTTTTCCTCAGGCCATGTCCATGCAAGTGTGGCATTTGCGAGACACCTGATCACGCCTGTCCAGCGCCAAAGGCGATGCCAGCACTGCACTGGAAGTTGAAGATTTGAAGCATTTAAAGACCTGGTGTAGGAACCAAGGATAGACGGGTGGTTGCCTGCATTGTGATTGCGCCGAAAGCGACGCTGCTTCTGTGCATGCCTTAGCCAATGAACATACACTAAATAAGACATGTTGAACTTCGGACTTGCAATCTACAGCTCCGGACCTCTCACCTACTGCCAGCGGAAATTGAGGCAGCGGCATGCGAGCGGCAAGGTCTTTCAGCCTGCCTGGTGACCCAACACACCCATAAAGCCAACACATGATCATGTATCAGCATTACAAATGCAATACTATATAGATGAAACAATTGCCTCCGCTATGGGTCATAAGAGGTGCAATATGAGAAAATATTCCTGGGCCAGTTGGGTACCCTTTCATGTAATAAAGCCCGTGGTGTCCAAGCCACCTCCCACATCTTGTCATCTAGGGCACGACATTGCTGGCCCTCCCGTGGCAGCCCCAAATTCTGGCAGGTGCGGAAGAAACGCAATGGACATGTAAAATTCAAGGCTGTAGGAAGACGCAAATCATTTGTGCCTGAGGCAGAAGGCTTCCAAACAGTTGAAAGCACAACCATTTTGTGTTCTTTTCTGACCCCAGGTTCAATCCTTTCGCGAGAGGGTGTGAAGTGGAGTCAGGTGAAATCGGCTTTGCGAAGACACTGCTTCTCACAGGGGCTGGCTGATGCTCTATGCAAATATTTGGTAAGAATGTCTCGTGGGTGGGGTCTTCTGACGTGCGCAAACACAAATGACCTGCATTTAGGCTTACAGTGTTCTGGGCAAAGACCAATGTAGTGCATTGTAGTTGGGCATACAAATAGACATCTCCCAACAACATTGCTTCACTGCAAAGGTGGATTCACGTTGCATTTGGGGACAGGGGATCTTGATGAGGCACGTGCAAGATGGATTCCAACATCTTGGGCCTTCTTTATGCCCAAAACATGGCATCCAAAAGCTCCGTCTTTGCAAAGCATCAACTTCGACTGTCTGGCTTGTCTGGCTTGCTGGAAAGTTTCAATAACGCTCATTGGTCAATCATTTGCAAACGAAGCTGGAAAGAGACCTACGCACGAGCCTCATGCCGGACACCCTCACTAAGCGACCAACCTGAGAGTACACACAAAAATTGGAAGACTGCCACAAATGCTGGACACTGGAGATTTGCAACTAGCTGCTTCCGCATGCTGGCAAGATGCTTGGGGAAAGCGTGGCCTGCGACTGCACCACCCCTCAGGGTCCTGCACCAGTTTGAGGTGGGTCGGGATGGATCAGGAGTGTTGCTTTGATTGTGCAAACAGGCCGCAGAAGTGAGGAGCCGTCCTGGCCACGATACGACCAAACTCACCTCTGTTGTTCCGCAGAACCTGCAGCGAAGCTATTTAGGGCATTGTCTCCAATGGCTTGCAAGTCCAATTCACACACCACCTCCGTTCACTGCCTTCTTCCTCACTTTAAAACAGTTATGGAAAAATCTCTACCAGGATGCACCTCAGCAGCCTCATGGTTCAGCGGATCACCAGGGTTAGGCTCTAAGAAAAGATACCTGGCAACAGCATGCAACGGCAACATCTGGCTCAGCTCAGGCGCAGTTTTCGTAGGTGTTACTTTGGATTTGTATGAATTTGTCATGTCTGCCATGGAATCTGCTTGTCGTTTACGAGTATCAAACTCTTTGGCATGGATAGAAGCACCTTCACTCTCTCGCATGGAACGTTTTGAATCTAAGCTTTGGGTCACAGCAGCCCGTAGACCACCAAGGAGATGGACAGCACCTTAAACAGTCTTCGCTCTTGAAGCTCACCGGCTTCGTGAAATCCTTTCTTGCTAAATGTGTAGTTTGTGATATCTTCCATGCTTTCTGTCTGGGACCATGACAGGCTTCCAATCTTCTCTCAAAATATTGAGGCAAACCTTCAAGTTCAACTCTCTGAAGTATGCGAAGACCCACGAGAACGGCTCAGTCCATTGCATTCCCCTGCATGTCAATATTGGGATGGTATATCTTTGTCTCACCTGGGCGAAGCTTTTTCCAACTCAAACACGCCGATGCAATTTTACACTGAAAACCACTGAAAACGATTTGGCATCTCAAATTGCATACATTTGCTGCTTTGACCTCGGTTCTACGGCGCGCACATTTCACCTTAGGTGCCTCGCGCAAACAATAGTGGTCTCATTCAGCCATCAAAAAAGAGTGAGTGGGCTGAGCCTCATGGGGATACAATGCAGCCACGTTGAAGACGAAGGTGTAGCTAGCTCCTCCAGACTGAAGCTTTGACCCTTGGCAACGTTTGAACCAACACCGGTTTTATGTCATTCAGGCCTTTCCAAAAACCCTCGTCAGGAGAGATGGTGATGTTAAAGTGCATCAGGTTGTTCTTGTCCGGAAAGCTGGCAGGTCATGCATCAGGTGTAAAGCATTTCAGATTATATAAGGTTGAAGGTTTAGTGGTGATCCCTCTGAGCTACCTGAAGGCATGAAAAATGTCTGGGGTCAGGGCTCGATATGGCACTGCGGGGGCAGCTCCATTTCATCCAACTCCTGCTCCGAAACCGAAACTACCCACGTGGCAGCAAACTTTCAGCGGAGCCGCAACGCACTGGCCTTCTGCATTCGAATTTCGCCGGGTTGTTTTTTCTTTGCAGCCGGTGCCTTCAATCGAAGATCTCGCAAGCACGCGCATCATATCTGTGAACAGTGGACACTAAACATTCTGCGGTTGGAAAGCAAAGCGAACCAGCACAATAAAAGTGGTGGTGGTGGTGGTGGTGGTGCTGGTGCTGGTGTTGGTGTTGGTGTTCGTGTTGGAGTAGTAGTAGTAGTAGTAAGTAGTAGTAGTAGTAGTAGGAGTAGTAGTAGTAGTAGTAGTAGTAGTAGTAGGTAGTAGGTAGTAGGTAGTAGGTAGTAGGTAGTAGGTAGT